TCCTGCCTCAGCCTCCCGAGTAGCTGGGACTACAGGCACCCGCCACCACGCCTGGCTAATTTTTTGTATTTTTAGTAGAGACCCGGCTTCACCATGTTAGCTAGGATGGTTTCGATCTCCTGACCTCATGATCCACCTGCCTCAGCCTCCCAAAGTGTTGGGATTACAGGCATGAGCCACCGCATCGGCTCCTCTGTATCTCTTTTTTACTTTAAAATATACCATGTAACTTTTTATGAAAATGTTTAAGAAGTATAGATGGACCTGAAAGTAACCAATATTCTATTTGTTAAGAGCCTGCCACATCAGTGTCAGCCTAATAGAAACAATGTTGGGCCTAGTAGAAGTCATGTAACAGGCCTCAATTTGGATAATGGATATAAAATAAGTTGTATATATAGAATATATTTTTCTTTTACTTTTTTTTTCTTTTTTCATGGAAGAAAGCGTTCTGGGTTTTTTAACTATGGCACTTGTTTATTTTCTTAGTCTATAAATAGAGTTGATGGCAAAAAAGAGAAGCATTATAAGTAGGATGAGGTCAATAAAATTTTCCAGGCCCAGCGAATTTGGAAATTATTTGGTAACCTGACTTAAATTCTGATGAGTGTGTAATCCAAGATAATGGTGCTATAGGTAATTTATATTATCATTAATTTCAAGTTCTAGTGATCATCGATGCACGATTTTGTTGGCATGGTTTATTTGGATACTGACTTGATTAGAAGATCTCAAATAATTTAAATGGATGAGGTCAAGGGAAAATTATTGACTTACAGCCAAGGTAGCAATTTGTGCATATATTTTAAACTTCGTTGGTTTTAAAATCTAAAAGATAATATCTGAGTGTCCTAAATTTTTAAGTGTGCTGAGAGAACATGTTGACATCTGAAATGGCTAATGAGGTTTCTTTTCATTGTTTGCTTTTCTTAAGCCTGCTTGTGTTTGAACATTTTAGGTCATTTATAGCAAATATACTGACCTGGTTCCAAAGGAGGTTATGAATGCAGATGATCCAGACCTGCAAAGGCCCGATGAAGAAGCTATTAAAGAGGTAACTGGGAATTGATATATTCGATGACTGTTTACATCCTGATTAACTTCCAGACTCTCAATGTGACATTTCCTATTTCAGATAACAGAAAAGACAAGAGTAGCCTTAGAAAAATCTGTATCACAGAAGGTCGCCGCAGCCATGCCAGTTCGGGCAGCTGACAAACTGGCTCCTGCTCAGTATATCCGGTATGAATCATGCCTAGAAGACTTAGTTTCATTTTGAACTTGATTCAGCTTGGGGGTTCATGGTATTCTTTCACTAACCCACTTAGCAACCATTATGAATGCATTGTTTTGAATAATGACTTGAAGCCTGTATACTCTCTTTGCAGACAGTTGAAAGCAGAATTTTTTAAGGTGTCCACTTTGGTTTTTGTTTGTTTTCTGAAATAAGGTCTCTCCGTTGCCCAGGCTGGAGTATAGTGACACCAACATGGCTCACTGCAGCCCCCACCTCCTGGGCTCAAGTGATCCTCTTGCCTTGATGCCACCATGCCT